ACATCTTTATGAAAACCGCTACTACGTGAAGCAGCCTTCCGAGAGGATGCTTACACGATCACTAAAATATTAACCTGTTCAATTCTAAGGTCAATCGTTATCTACCCTAAATAATGTACACGTACTTTCTTCTCTTACGCCCATGCAACAACCATATTCCGTAAAGCTCTTGGGCCTTACACACTCCGGATTTAATCGCTATTTTTCTCAGGAAAATTTCAGTATTTTAAAGAAACGGTAAACGTGGAGAAATATGACAGCTTACCTCCTGTAAAGATATGTCATCTGTAGAAATTTCATGCAAGAATTATTTTATTATGGTTTAAAGATCTGAACCCTTTATTTCGCTCACTGGGGTAGACTGTTCTAGTTCGACGTGCCACGTTTAATGGATGTCAGTCATCAGTTATCTCCTGTTAATTCCCTCCCAAGTTCTCCACTGCCTTAGCCTACCGACTTAGTGCTCTGTCAAAATTTTCATCCAAAAGAAGCTTATGAATTTGGGGACCTGCAAAGATGCCTTCCTTTATCTTTTGCTTCATTTATCATGTGAAATTTATTTTGCGCGTACTTGAAGTAACAGATTGTCGCCTTTGGATATTGACGTAAATGTCCATATATATATATATATATATATATATATATATATATATATATATATATATATATATATATATATTCAATCTGTGATTGCTTATGTTCAGTTATTTTTTACCGCGTATTAACGCGATGGATTCGTATAGAACTGATAAAAATTTTCATACGTGAAGAATGTTTTTCATCCCTCAGTAAGCATTTTAAATTCCAGCTTTGAAATAGTAGAATAATTTCGATAACCTATATTTTTTGTAATGTTCCCATTTTCTTGAAAATAGATTTTTTTTATTTAAATCAGACATTACTTAAAATGTGACCTTTTGACGAGAAAATATCTGAGCGATCTGATATTTTGCATAAATGAATATTAGTCTGTACTCGGTGCGTCTCCGTTCTGTGACTGCGTGTATATAGTTGAGTTATGTTACCATATGTGTGTGGAATATATATGCAAATGGAATGACTATTATGGGGTATAGGTAGTATATTATAGCCTCGTTATTCCATCATATTTATTACGGTCGGCCTAGTATATATGTATGCAAATGAAACAATTATTATGGGGTATAGATAATATATTATAGCCTCGTTTTTCCATAATATTTATTACGTTCGGTCTAGTATACATGTATGCAAATGAAACAATTATTATGGGCTATAAATAATATATTATAGCCTCGTTATTCCATAATATTTATTACGGTCGGCCTAGTATGCATGTATTCAAATGGAACAATTATTATGGGGTATAGGTAAAATATTATAGCCTCGTTATTCCATAATATTTATTACGGTCGGCCTAATATGCATGTATGAAAATGGAACAATTATTATGGGGTATAGATAATATATTATAGCCTCGTTATTCTATAATATTTATTACGGTCGGCCTAGTATGCACGTATGCAAATGGAACAATTATTAAGTGTATAGATAGTATATTATAGCCTCGTTATTCCATAATATTTATTACGGTCGGTCTAGTATGTATATATGCAAATGGAACAGCTTTTATGGGACACCGGTAGTTAAAATATTACACATCTCATAATAGTTGTTACAGTTTGTGTATCAAATATATATGCAGATATTTTGGGAGACTTAGGTAAAAGTATTACCTGTCCCATAATATGTGTTACATGTAGTGTATGAAATATGTATATAAATGAAACAAATATTATGGGACATATTAAATAATGCTACCACGTATTTACTCATATTTATTTTTTTTATTTTTCTATATTATTATTATCTGCTATTAATATTTTCTATAAAAAAGAGTGGTGATAATTTTGCAAGAAGTTGAGAAAAAAACCCTGAATAGAGCGTGAAGGATTTCTAAAGAACACAGTGAATAGCATGTGACACACGAGGAATATTTAAGGATAATCGAATATTCAATGAAATTGTTGCTAACAGTCAGAAAGGGACAGGGGAATTTCCTAGCAAAGATAATGATTAAAGGCGGCTTGACGAATTAAAAACTCTCAGGATACCGTTTGTTTTTTTTGTTTTTTTACGGTATATCAACCTCAACCTAATTTAATGCCAACAAGATTTTTATTGGTGGTAATATATATACATTTTTAAATGTATTGCTCGAATTAAAACCTATTTTACACCTTCATAGTCTTTTGGCCCCAGTTTGGAGGTTAACTATTTGCCCATAGATGGGACCCTAACAGGTGATACCACTCTGGGTCAGAATGGACATGGGAACACTAGCAATTAAATGGTGGTTCTACGCTCTTCAAAGTCTAGAGGCCTTGCTACCGGATGTAGTTTATCGTCATACTCAGGACGCGGATGTTGTTTGTCGTCATACCTAGGACGGCAGAATACCGTTGCTATGGCTGTAGACTTAGACGTTCTTTTTAAAATCCAAAGAAGAATATGCAATATTATTGGCCCTGACCTGACGTCTCGGCTTCAGTCACAGTCTTACCGCCGTAATATATCTGTACCTTTCTTATAAATACTTACACGGTAAGTGTTTCAATGAAATCTTTGCTTTAATACCTATAGTTTCTGAATGTAAGCGCAGTACTAGATTGGCGGCCAGGTCTCACAGTTATACTGGCTAGCTGTTCTATGCTAACTGTTTCTTTTATCGTAGTTCGAGCTTGTGGAACTCTCTTCCGGCTCCATGCTTTTCAACCAAATTTGTACTGAAAAAATTTAAATGCAATGTCAATTTTAATCTAATCCCTTCTTGATTACCCTGGTATTTTTCTCTCTCCGTGATAATATTTCGCTTTTCCTTATCCTTCCCCACTTAGTAACGCTTTGTGTTCTAGCTTTACTGCTTCGAATAGAGTGATACGATTAAAACAACACATAAAAATATAAGTAGCGCAGCAAAGCAAAGAGTAATTTTGACATGTACATAGTAAATTAACACGGACTAAATAAACGAATTGTATATTTATCTAATCTCAATAAATAAAAACAAATATGTCAATTCTTTATGGCCAATGCGATCCAAGTGTGGATACTTTAATTCGATATTCCTTAAACCGCTGGTTTTATGAAATCAAAGGAGAAATGGTTTGTTTCTTTTCTCAGTGGTATCTTTTTGCCAATCGAACGTAAACATTTCAAATCTATTCTAAAACACTCTTTCCTTTTCATGCGGTCTGCGTCAATCATTGCCATGCTACCAGACAGCATTTTACCAGATGTGTAACCACACTGCTCACGTTTCAGAGCGGTTAAACAAAAGAGATTTGGAAGCACCATTTCTTTAGATAATATTTCGGGAATTTTATATCAGGAGAACACAAAGAAAGTATGACAAGACGCTATTCACGTCTCTTTCTTCAGAACCAATCAGCTTAAAGAAAATCCATTTTTAAAGAATCCGTCAGAGGAGAATTTTATTTCAAGAAATCTCAAACAAATCCTCTTTCATTTTTCATTTCTTCATTCTTTTCTTCGCACTCTTTTTCTCGCTCTGTTTCTTTTCCTCAGTTTATTACTTTCTTTCTTTTACCTTTTCTTTCTTCCTTTTTTTTCCACACAGTTTTTATGTCCTCTTTCTTTGTCTCTTCACAAACAAACAGACGCACACACACACACAGAGACAAACACACACACACATATATATATATATATATATATATATATATATATATTAATTCAAACGTAATTTAAGTGCATAATTGTGCTTGAAATAGATTCACATTTATTATTCTAAACTGTGTGATGCCTACTTAACAAAGAAATTATTTTAAACTGTGTGAAGTCTACTTGCAAAACAAGCAACACAAAAATAAAAAAATACCATATATTTCTTTTTCACTCTAAGTATTTCATTCCTCATAAACATTTAATCAAAGCGAAACATGTTAAAAATCTACCAACCTTTCGTATTTTTAATGATATATATATATATATATATATATATATATATATATATATATATTTGTTGCGGGGCCGATAGGATGTCGCCCCCTGCAAGGTTTTTAAGTATACGATAAATGTGAACAGCCAAGACAATGACGGGACAAAGGCAAAGGTTTTTGTTATGAACAAAAGTGTCGTTTTTATTCACACATTTACATCGGTGTGGTCCGAAAACTGGTTAATCGACGAACGTAGCTGGTTCGGTCGATTGTAGCTGGTCTGGTCCGGTAGTTGGTCTGGCCCGGTAGTTTAGGGTTTGGTAAACGTAGTTGGTTCGGTAGAATGTAGCTGGTCCGGTCGAATGTAGTTGGTCTGGCCTGGTAGTTTAGGTTTGGTAGGCGAACGTTTCGGTAGAATGTAGTTGGTCTGGCCTGGTAGTTTAGGGTTTGGTAAACGAACGTAGTTGGTTCGGCCGAAATGCGAAGACGGAGTCCCAAACAGGGCCAAGGCAGACTAGTGATGCTACTTCACGGGGCGGATCGACCGCGGAACGGGATCGCGCCAAAGTGTATCACCAGGCGAAGACGGAGTCCCTTGATGCTACTTCACGGGGCGGATCGACCGCGGGAACGGGATCGCGCCAAAGTGTATCACCAGGCGAAGACGGAGTCCCTAAACAGGGCCAAGGCAGACCAGTAATATCCACAGGGCGGATCAACCGCGGAAACGGGATCGCGCCAGAGTGTATCACCAGGCGAGGTAGGTCATATCGACCGTGGAGACGGATCGCGCCGAAGAGCAACACTCTCGACAAAAGCACCGGAAGTTATAGTGTACTACACTTTGATCCAGGCCTCCGCCGAGCTGCCTAGTTTGGGGAAAAAAAGTGTCTAAGGATATTTGCAAAGATTTGTTCATAGAGGAGTAGAAGGCCGTAGATAATAAATTATAGTCTATGGTTGCTGATGTTTAGAATGGCTCAGCATAGTCAGATGCGTACTAGGTATGGTTTGAAACGATATTGGACTAGCCGTCCGGTTTCTGGCCTGTTGCTTGACCTAGATCTGCGAGATCGAGAGTTGTGAAGGTCAAGGTCGGCTTTGTAAGGAGCGGATAATCGGCGACCGCGACAAGGCCCTTCCCTAAAAATTGATCGTAAAACAATATTTACGAAGGTCTTTAGGAAAGTTCCTACCGATCGGGTCTGCCGGTCACAGGAGTCGCTGGGTGTCGTTTGATGTCTGCGGTGCTGCGTCTGATGGGTGCGCTGGAATAGCATTAGGGGGCCGCAGAGCCGGGTTTGCGTCATACTGTCGCTTCTCCAGAAAAGCAGGCTTGGTCCGATCGATTGCGATGGTGTCGGTCGAGTTCGAGCGCGCTTGATCGTAAGGTGCTTGTCGGTGCGTCGAAGAACCTGAAAAGGACCTTGCATGCCGGCGTGAGTGGTCGTCTCACGGCGTCGTTCCGTACGAAAACGAATTTGCAATCTCGCAAGTGTTGAGGGATGTACGAATTCACCGGTTGCTGTCGGGAGTTGCATATTTAAGCCGGGCCATTTTGTGGCGGAGTTCCTCGACGAAAGGAGATGTTGGTTTTGAAAACGTCTGAAGGGAGTCGTCGAAGTATTCGCCGGGTAGCGCAAGAGGTGTACCGAAAACCAGTTCGGCGGGTGAACAACCTAAATCCTCCTTTACGGTGTTCCTCAATGCTAGGAGAATTAAAGGTAGGTCGTCCACCCAATTGATAGTGTCAGGTCTAGTGGCCAGGGAGGTTTTAAGGACCGATGAAACCTCTCAACTAAGCCGTTGGCGCACGGATGATAAGCGGTAGTCTTTAAACTTTGACTGGAACTGTGACCCCTGTCGGTCGTGATAACGTGGGCGTGCCGAAAGTTCCAATCCACTCTTTCAGGATGGTCCTAGAGACTGTGTTAGCAGAAGTGTTTTTATAGGTATGGCGGTCGGCCACCGCGAAAAACGATCCACAACCGTCAAAAGATACCGGTAATCCTGACACATCGGAAGCGGTCCCACTAAGTCGAATGTATGTGAGAACCGTGCATCGGGACTGCTGAAGGTGCCGACGGGGGATTTAGTGTGTCGGTGGACCTTAAAACTCCATGCACGTGGGAAACCCATTCTCGAATGTCCGCATTCATATTGGGCCAAACGAATCGGTCGGTAATAAGTTTGACCGTAGCTCGCTTACTTGGATGAGACAGCCCGTGGAAATGTTGAATACCTGTCTCCGGTGTCGGTGGGATGTAGGGCCCAGGGGCTTGCTAGGCTGGTGTCACAGTACAGGGTGTCGTCGCTGAAGGATGCAGGAACTCCTGAAAAAGAAGTATTCGAAAGGACGTCTTGCAGCGTGGGGTCGGATTTTGTTCAGCGGCTATAGAATCTTGACCCAAGACGCCGGTCTGAAGATTGAATTTCCGCTCGCGATAATGTGTCTGCGACGGCGTTGTCCTTCCCCTTTATGTGACGAATATCGGTCGAGAACTGTGACAGGTAGTCGAGATGCCGGATCTCGCGAGCTTACTTGTCAGATTGTTACCATCGCGGTTGTCAACGGTTTATGGTCGGTATAGATGGTAAAATCTCGACCTTCCAGTAAGTGCCCTGAAATGCCTGACGGCCAGATAAATGGCCAGCAGCTCTCGGGAGAAGGTGCTATATTTTCTCTGGGCTGGCGAAAGCTACGAAAAGAATGCGATGGGTTCGCGTTGTGAGTTGAACTTTGCTCAACCACCGCGCCCACACCAGCGTCGGATGCGTCGGTTGTCAGGAATAGTCGTGTCTCTGGATCGTCGTTGATATGCCTGGTATAATTCTCCAATGCAGCCTTCGCTGTATGGAATGCGTGCAGAGCATCTCCCTCCAAAGAGATGTCCTTGTTTCTTCTCTGCAGCAGGTTCGTCAGTGGCTGGAGGATGGTAGCGCAATTTGGTATGAACCGACGATAAAAATTGAGCATGCCGAGGAAACGTCGCAATTGATGGACGTCGGTGTAGGAAAGTCCCGGATCGAGCTGATCTTGTTGGCAGAGGTGCTATGCCGTCTGCGTCGGTGCGGTGCCCGAGAAAGTCAACGCTGGGCGCCCCGAAAACGCACTTGTCCAGGTTCAACTTCAGGCCGTAGTGCGAGAGTCGCTGGAAGACTTCTCGCAGGTGTTGTCTGTGAGAATCGGCGTCTGTACTGGCCACCAAGATGTCGTCGATATAGGCGTATACATGCGGAAGTCCGCGCAGGACTTCGTCTGGTCTAGAAGTCGTTGGAAGGTCTTGTTACGTAGACCGAACGGCATTTTTAGAAATTCGTATAGGCCAAACGGTGTTGTGACTGCCGTTTTGGGACGTCTTCCGCAGCGACGGGGATCTGGTGGTATGCCTTTGTCAGGTCGATTTTCGAGAAGATGCGAGCCCCATCAATCCGGATGCAAAATCATGGATATGAGGGACAGGATATCGGTCTGGTACGGTCGATGCATTCAATTTCCGGTAGTCGACGCATATCCGAAATTTTTTCCAAGGTTTAACTAAGTGTAGTGGCGAGGCATAAGGGCTATCGGAAGGACGAATGATGCCATCACTGAGCATTTTGTCGAATTGCTCCTTGGCGTACGCCAGTTTGTGCGGAGCGAGTCGTCGCGGATGGGAGTGTGCGGAGGACCTCGGGTTCTGATGTGGTGCTGAGTCTGATGGTCACCTGAAGCCGTTACTTGGAGTGGCAGCGTTATATCCGTGAACTGCGTCAGGAGATCTATACTCGCGACCATGGCATGTTGCGACGCTGATTCCTGTGGAGCCTTGACGTGTAGGGGTACCCTAAGACACGGAGATTCGTCGTCGTATCGGACAGAGTCCTAGGGTTCATATGGACCGCCAGTGCGTAATGCGCCAGGAAATCCGCGCCGAGGATGGGTACCTTCACGTTGGCCACGGTAAATGTCCAAGTGAAATCGCGTCGCATGCCGATATTCAAAGTAAGGGTCCTTTCTCCGTACGTGTCTATCGCGGAACCATTCGCTGCTCGTAGTTTGATCAGGGTGGGCTTAGCGGTGTGGTCGTTCTGAAGGGGTACCACGCTGATGGCCGCACCTGTGTCCACCAGGAATTTCAACTTGTTCCGTCGATCCCAAACGTAAAATAGACGACATTGCGTGTTGGCACCGGAAGAGTTAGTCGTCGCGACTCTCCGGTTTATTCGTTTCCCCGGGCCGACGGGTGTGTACAGGAGGTTTACAATTCCTGGCCTCATCGCCGAATGTGCGATGAAACCAACAAACACCCTGGTCGCTTCGCCGTTCTCGGCTGGGGGTTCGTCTCCGTCGAGATGGGGTCGATGTCCTCGTCCGCGGGCGCAAGCTCCCTGAATTTGCCGTTGAAGGTCGGCCAACGCCCGTTCCGTTTTACTAGGCTCGTAGCGTTCGTGCTTCGCTATGTCGGGGCGCGAACAGCGTTAACGCTGTGGTCGAACTGTGCAAAAACAAGATCAGCAGATTCTGCCAAATCATCCAGAGGCGTGGCTCGTCATTGGTGCGATGATTTGTGCAACAGATTTAGGCAAATGCTCCAGCCATAAACCTCGAAGAACCTTTTCTGATATTGCGTGCTTTCCCAGCTGGTTCCTCATATATCTGAGAAGCTGGGATGGCGTTTTGTCGCCTCTAGTGACGTTCCGCAGTATCTCTTGGATCATATCTTCCTCGGAACGTCCGGTTCGCTTGAGGATTGCTTCCTTTAAGTGATCGTACGGTTCATGCTCGCGCAAATCGGAGAGGACATCAGAAATTTCGTCCATCATATCAGATGGGAGTTTCTGCATTACATTCGCGAATCTGGCTCCTGCTGTGAAGTAATGCGTAGCATTGAAAAGATGGATTCCACCTGCAAGAACCAGTTCTTGGCATTATGGTGGTATGCAGGCAGAGGTATGATCGCAGCCGTCATGTCCAAAGAATCACTTTTAGCCGACTCCATCATCGCTTAGCTGTCTCAAAAGTCACCACTTGTTGCGGGGCCGAGTAGGATGTCGCCCCGCAAGGTTTTTAAGTATACGATAAATGTGAACAGCCAAGACAATGACGGACAAAGGCAAAGGTTTTTGTTATGAACAAAAGTGTCGTTTTTATTCACACATTTACATCGGTGGGTCCGAAAACTGGTTAATCGACGAACGTAGCTGGTTCGGTCGATTGTAGCTGGTCTGGTCCGGTAGTTGGTCTGGCCTGTAGTTTAGGTTTTGGTAGGCGAACGTAGTTGGTTCGGTAGAATGTAGCTGGTCCGGTCGAATGTAGTTGGTCTGGCCTGGTAGTTTAGGGTTTGGTAGGCGAACGTAGTTGGTTCGGTAGAATGTAGTTGGTCTGGCCTGGTAGTTTAGGTTTGGTAGGCGAACGTGGTTCGGCCGAAATGCGAAGACGGAGTCCCTAAACAGGGCCAAGGCAGACTAGTGATGCTACTTCACGGGGCGGATCGACCGCGGGAACGGGATCGCGCCAAAGTGTATCACCAGGCGAAGACGGAGTCCCTAAACAGGGCCAAGGCAGACCAGTGATGCTACTTCACGGGGCGGATCGACCGCGGAACGGGATCGCGCCAAAGTGTATCACCAGGCGAAGACGGAGTCCCTAAACAGGGCCAAGGCAGACCAGTAATACAACTTCCACAGGGCGGATCAACCGCGGAAACGGGATCGCGCCAGAGTGTATCACCAGGCGAGGTAGGTCAGAGAGGTGTTACACCTTCCAGGGCGGATCGACCGTGGAGACGGGATCGCGCCGAAGAGTAACACTCTCGACAAAAGCACCGGAAGTTCACAAAGGTAGTGTACTACACTTTGATCCAGGCCTCCGGGCCGAGCTGCCTAGTTTGGGGAAAAAAAAGTGTCTAAGGATATTTGCAAAGATTTGTTCAAGTACTCCTGGCTAGAGGAGTAGAAGGCCGTAGATAATAAATTATAGTCTATGGTTGCCGATGTTTAGAATGGCTCAGCATAGTCAGATGCGTACTAGGTATGGTTTGACATCAACGATATTGACTAGCCGTCCGGTTTCTGGCCTGTTGCTTGACCTAGATCTGCGAGATCGAGAGTTGTGAAGGTCAAGGTCGGCTTTGTAAGGAGCGGATAATCGGCGACCGCGACAAGTTTGAGAGTGTACAAAATGATTTAGAACATTTTTTATTAGAACATATTTTTCCCTTAAAATTGTTCTTGATATACAAAAAAATGATACATTGTTTTCTCATATATATATATATATATATATATATATATATATATATATATATATATAAAATCCAGAGAGCTCAATGTAAATCCTGAGCAAATAATTTAAATAAAACAGATCACTTTAAGGTTCCATGTAAGAAATTATTTCACCACAGCCCTTTTAAAGATCAGGATCATCAGACTTTAAAACAAGAATGAAAAGAAATTTACACAAATTTTGACGGGCCGTATTAAACATATGTAAATTAACGCCTCACTTCCTCACTTCGTTAATTTACATATGCTTAATACAACCGGTCAAATATTTCTTTTCATTTTTTTTTCAACCTTTGAAGTAAAGTCTGATGATCCGCATGACGTCCTGAAAAAAATCTAACTACATATTTGTTGGCACAGTCGCGATTATTAAAAATATGTTGTCCTATTGCCGAATCATGTACAGACTGAGTCGTCCTAGAAGAAAATCTCAGATTGCCTGATTTTTATATTGGCCGGAATATGTTGACAAGAACCGATCTCCAACCTCGGACTATTCCATTCTACGTATTCAGCATCACACTAAGATTTGTACTTATATCGGTCGGAACTACTTTGAAATAGTGACAAGCGATGGAAACACCGAATTGGTCTTAAAAACAATCCGTAACTTGACAGGGGGAAACTTGATTCAATGTAAACTGACACTCTATCGGCAATAATTTGACTCTTCCTACCCAGCCACGGTACTTTCAAATAAACAGGACAAAGACTGGGTCCAAATACTACCGTTTTTTTCAAACGTCTAATTAAACGCTCAACCCTTCGCATAATAACATAAATGCCTAATTGAACATCGTCAATAAAAATGGGATGAATTTTCTCCTTTTCCTGATCAAAAGTACAGGAAAAACAAATCACCAGCGCGCGATGAACTAAGGTGGAAATCAGGTTCATCTTTCGGGCTTTTGAAACAGAAGAATTTCCATTACTGTCCAGATCTGTGAGCGGAGGTTTGAGAAAAACGCGGGTAATACAGAAACCATGTCTACAATCATCAAAGAAATCAAAGAAGGGCAAAATACAATTAAACTCCACTTCTATGGTAAATTGCAAAGCTGGATTAAGGAAATTGTGTTGTAAAACGTGAGAACAACGTACGTAGCGTAAATATGCATGGGGTTTACGCCATGTTTCAAACAAAAATTACCAAAAATCAAAAAAACGTTGGCTAATACTGGACCAAAAGAACTACCCATTGACGCCCCATCAATCTAGACGTACATAGTATTGTCAAGACTAAAGTCAATTCTTTCAGTTGCTAAATGCATAAACACAAATAGAGCTTCCGGAATTAAAGCAGGACACAAGCGATTTGGAACATATTTGGACCATCTCTTGAAGAGTTACATTCGTATATAATCTAACAATGTGAAATGACACTCGGAATTTCTCCTTAGAATCTCTCTCTCTCTCTCTCTCTCTCTCTCTCTCTTTCTCTGTGTATATATATATATATATATATGACCAAAAAAAACGGGAACTATTTAACAGTCCAATAAAACCAAGAGTGATGGAAGAAAAATATTTTATTCATAGTAATTGAAACCTTAAAACATGCCATTTAAGAAACAATGATGGAATTTTTTTTTCTTAAAAATGACGTCCTGTAAATGGCGTCCTCCTGTACGAATGCCTTCTTGAAATCTGCTGTTGAGATTCCTCATTGACTGCTGCAACATCTCAGCTGGGATACTGTGAATTCCATCTTGAATTCTAAATGGTGAAATGTTTACTTGCTCAAGGTCACTGCCTCGTAGTGTTGCCACTTGCTCATGTCTGGCAATACACACTTCAAAAATTCCCGTTTTTTGGCTCATATATATATATATACACCTGGTGTAACAGAAAAATTGTCCAAATCGTGTAAATGTATTATCATGTATCCTACAATATGTTTAATATCTAAAAACCCACAAAACTAATTGAGTTTCTTTTTACCAGGTTTTCACATGAGACTTTTACTAATCTTGACAACATTTATTTTAAGAATCCCGGAAAAATCCTTTGCGTTATTCAGCTAGAAAGAGAACATGTCAAAATCTATTAGTGTCAACCCTACTATGTTTTCTCAACTGAGCAATGGTAGGAGGAAAAAGATCATTCAGTTCTTCAGTAATGGTAGCAACATTCATATTCTACATGTAGCCGTCCGGGTATCAATTCTCGGTAATGGATGCGCACTGCTGATGAATCCCAAATATAGGACGAAACGGTCGTCCAGTGCTTTCTGCATTCTCTTGAGGTTTCTTCTGGATTCGATGAATTACTTAATTATAATATATATATATATATATATATATATATATATATATATATATATATATATATATATATATAATTATATATGTGTATATATAAGTATATATGTGTATGTCTGGATATGTATGTATATATGTTTGTATGTGTCTTTCTACAGGTGTATATGTGTATGTATGGATATATACATATAGTTTTGTGTGGATATGTGTGTATATGGATTTATAGGTATATAGGGATATGTATGTATGTGGATATAGATAGGTGTTCGGATATGCGTAGAGGTGTGTATGTGTATGGATATATAGAATATTATAAAAGAAGGACCTAATTTTCTGTTAGTAATGTTTTATCCAAATTTCTCCTCTAATATTCTCCAATTGGAAATGAGTTCAAATAATACGGAGGTAAATATTACCCTTTAAGAATCATTATTGATGATAAAATTATTTAAATTGGAATAACCTCTGATTATTATGTAGGTACCTAAAAACAGTCACGAGTTTAATTTATGAACAAAATTCAAACGAATAGATGTCAACTTAATAATCAACAAGAAAAAAGTTTAGGAAAATAAAACAGATTACTAGATGTGGAATAAATTATTCTTTCAATGTACTTTCTATGAATTTTTTCCAATCGACTATTTCATAGAAAATACCCAAAACTCCAACAAATATCAAATTAAATTCTTCGTAGATTTTGTAGACATTTAGATTTATATCAAACTTTAACCCCCAAATATACCCTTTTATGCGAAATAACAGCGTCCAAGAAATTAAGTGAAACCTTCTCTCAACAGGATTGGTTTATTGTATCTTCTTCCTTTTATGTTGGCTTTCCTCTTCACCACTTACCCATCCATATCTAAAGATAACATAAGTTAAGTTAAGCGTTTGTCTGGCCCACACCAAGCGGGGTTAGGGATAAAGAACTGAAATGGTACATCTAACTCACTCATGTCTTCTCTCCCACTTCCTCACTTCGCCTTCTCTTCCCGTTACTTCCTCACTTCGTTAATTTACGCATGCTTAATACGGCCCGTCAAAAATGTGTAAATTTCTTTTCATTTTTCATTTCAACCTTTGGAAGTAAAGTCTGATGATCCAGAGCCCTTTAAATGGGCTGTGGTGAAATAATTTATTACATGGAACCTTAAAGTGGTCTGTTTTTTATTCAAACATATTTGCTCTGAATTTACATTGAGCTCTCCGGATATCATCCTCCTTGGGTCTACCCATACGGATTACCTAGTTTTGCATAAACTATATATATATATTGGTATTTAATCTCTTCTAAAACCACACACACACTTTGTTCACCGTCGTTTGCATACAAGCGAGGACGTAGGCAGACATATCTAGACAGGGGTGCAGTTATAAAGGGAGTGCGTTTATTCAATTGCAGCCATGTACACCCGGGAAACGTCACATACCTCGACTAGTATACATATATATATATATATATATATATATATATATATATATATATATATATATATTTCATGTATTTGGGCAGCAATCTTATATAAATTTTCTGAAAGACGACTGACAAGTCACTGAAATTAAGATTTTAATTTAATTTTACATGTGTTGTACAAGTTAAAAATAACAGAAGCAATAACAATAAAAAACACTGTGTAACATTAACTACGAACACAGCCACTATGTACTGACCGTGTTCGTAAAATACAACATTTTTTATAACTTCAGACATACACAGAAACACATAAAGTTAAAAATGGTCCCTAATAATGGCTAAAAGAATAGACGAAAGCGCTCAGACATGTAGAATTTATTGTCAAGTCTTATACACTTTGTGCCCAAAAAAGAAAACACTTGTACGAATAGAGGAAAAATTAAATAAAACGCTTAATCGCAGTCAGTTACCCGATTGCTTGATTCAAAAGTCGTACGACTCATATAGCAATTGTTATCACTTGACTAAAAATATTTTCTGCCCTTCCTTGCCTTTAAAGGAGTGCCCTTTGCCGTGCTGATGTTGCTAAATGACTTACTACTTGCCTATCTCACACTGCGAATTTTTTCTAAGCTCTATACTGAACATTAAATCGGTTACGAAAAAGGAACAAAACAAAAAGTGATAGCGATTGCTGTATGAGTCGTACGATTTTTGAATGAAGCACAGGCAACGCCGGACCATGCTGCTAGCATATATATATATATATATATATATATATTTTTTTTTTTTTTTCAAAATCCAGATTTAAAAGTTACAATTATTAACAGTTATCAGGAAGTAGAATAAATATAAAATCGTTTCTATGTTTAACAAGGTTTTTTTCTATGTACATATAAGGGTTCCAGGAACGGAGAAGTAGTAACTTAGTATTTCAGGAGATGACTGCACAGCATGCAGGTGCAAACCCCGATAATTAGGCAGGATCCGGCGATCCTAGAAGAAAATGCTCGTATAGTGATGTCGGAAAATTTGATCCTATCCCAGGTCAAACGTGAAAGCTCCTACAAGACGATGGGAGCTGACCAACACAGACAGTGAATTAATATCCAGGCGTTAAACAGAAATAAAGATCAGGATAGGAGGCAGGTCTAGAAGGGATTATCGAACAAATCAAGTGTCATGGCAAAGAAAAAAATCAAACGCCTGATCGAATAGATTCGGACTGTACGCCAATCTTCTGTCGGAGAGAGAAGTGCTACGGAAAGAGCTAGATGGCAAAGTGTTGAAGTCGTCAGTAAGAAAAAAAATATAATACAGAAATTTATGCATTATTTTTTTACCGTATGGATCACCTTATCGAAGGTCCGTGATCCTCACGAGGTATAGGGTTACATAAATAGGGACTTTATGAGGATAAAGGTTGAACAGGCGAAGATTGTGGTCATCGGGGAAACATCCTCGGGATTCGACCCACAAGAAGAAGCTGTTCGAGTGGAAGTTAATTTTCACCGATGGAACACGGACGTAATGTAGGTGGTTTCGTACAATTTTAGTACCATGGCGCGTCGTAGCCGTGAAGGTTAGAAGTAGCGGAACTAAGGAATATAGTTCGCCTGAGCACATTCCATGGAATTAGCTATAGAACAGAAGTTGTAGGGTGGAAAATAATTTGACAGACACAAAGACGTGGAGACAATTTGAATTCTAACATGGCATAAGAGTGAGATTAGGCAGCTCCTCCCCAAAAGTAACAATATAACTTCATTTTCGGTCTGATCTGGCTCTTGTAAAATTAGAGGATACTACGTGGAGTCAGGTACTTACGGGAGCTGTACAGGAAGCTGACCATTTTTCCTGCATCTTTTGCAATGTATCGTATATACAAGTTTTAATTGAGGTCAGACTTGAGTTTAAGACCCAGTATTCTTTTCTTCATTACCAAAGAAATGCTCCTGTCTCGCAATACTCTGTCCAGCGTTTGGAATACGTCCTGGGCCACACCAATACGTCTACGGATCTCAGTGTCGAATTTGCCGTCCTCTGTCATAACGCTTCCCAAATAAATAAACTGCCGAGTCTGCTTGATTCTAGTGTTCCTGGTCTGCAAATCGTATTTCCATCTCATCCTTTACATTGAGAAAAAATGCCGGTCTGGCATATGAGTTTGAAAAGCATTGATTTAGGTAACAAAACCGAAAGTTGCAGATAACGAATTAAATTTCTCTACACCAGTGAAGGAAGAAGGGGAGATTTGATACACACCTTATATGTTTAAAAAAATAAAATCGCATCTTTCCTTGATATACTACATAAAAATCCTTATCGTATCCCCAAATGTAAAGCCAAGCTATTCTTATTTTTATGCATAGATTCCTTTCACAAACAAACCCTTCTTCCTTCTCTCATTTCTTATTCCCCGTATTGTTAAAATTGTTCATTTGATTTAGTTCTTTGTTTATTTATTGATTCTTTCCTGTACGTTATAAACCCTAAATATTGCTGTAACGAGCGAGTGTCGAGAGGAGTAAAAAAACAACAATATTTAATATTTTTCTCTAAGAAGGATGGGAATGTATTGGTATCAGTGTCATCTTAATAATCCTTTAAGCCCTGACCACTGCTTTACCGGTGATATAGAAAAATGACTTAATGCCCAGCCACCGGTTGAACAGTGGTAGAGAAAAAGGACGTAATGCCCAGCCACCGGTTGAACGATAGTAGAGAAGAATGACTTAATGCCCAGCCACCGGTTGAACAGTGGTAGAGAAAAAGGACGTAATGCCCAGCCACCGGTTGAACGATAGTAGAGAAGAATGACTTAATGCCTAGCCACCGGTTGAACGGTGGTAGTGAAAAACGACTTAATGCCTAGCCACCGGTTGAACGGTGGTAGAGAAAAATGACTTAATGCCTAGCCACCGGTTGAACGGTGGTAGAGAAAAATGACTTAATGCCCGGCTACCGGTTGAACGGTGGTAGAGAAAAATGACGTAATGCCCAGTCACCGGTTGAACGGTGGTAGAAAAAAAATGACTTAATGCCCAGCCACCGGTTGAACAGTGGTAGAGAAAAATGACTTAATGCCTAGCCACCGGTTGAACGGTGGTAGAGAACAATGACGTAATGCCCAGCCACCGGTTGAATGGTGGTAGAAAAATGACTTAATGTCCAGCCACCGGTTGAACGGTGGTAGAGAAAAACGGCTTAATGCCCAGCCACCGGTTGAACGGTTGTAGAGAAAAATGACTTAATGCCCAGCCACCGGTTGAACGGTGGTAGAGAAAAATAACTTAATGCCCAGTCACCCGTTGAGCGGTGGTAGAGAAAAATGACTTAATGCCCAGCCACCGGTTGAACGGTGGTAGAGAAGAATGACATAATGCCCAGCCACCGGTTGAACGGTAGTAGAGAAAAATGACGTAATGCCTAGCCACCGGTTGAACGGTGGTAGAGAAAAATGACTTAATGCCCAGTCACCGGTTGAACGGTGGTAGAAAAAAACGACCTAATGCCCAGCCACCGGTTGAACGGTGGGTAAACACTTGTAACTGTTTTTATATCTACCGTGAAGCATTACATACCAATTATTTTGACTCGGGAGCTCAGACAGAGAGACTAAAATTGTTTAGGAACACAGGGCATCAAAGGGTTAAATGGAAAAAACTGACCTGTCACAAAAATCGATCTGGACGTTTATTCTCCCCCAATGGTTATAAGCTGAATGAACTGGACTTCTCCTGTACATATCAAGCGCCTCAGACGAAGAGAATTATATAAAAGAAATATTTTTATAACAAAAATGTCTCTTTTCTTAGGCAGAGAGACTATGTCCAAGTAATTCTGTAAAATATCAGGGACGGATTTTCCACTTAATTTATATTTTATACAGCCCCATTCCTTACGGCTTAAGGAACGCTAATCTACAAATATTATTTCCCAAAATAATTCTTCCCTATTCCTTATGTGTGAACCAATCTTCTTAAGTAGTGTCCTTCCAGGTAGCTTCACAAACTTGAGGTTAATCTGCCCTTCCATATACCTTTCATTCATTTTCTACCAACAGTAAAACAGGAGCACGTCAAATTTATTCTACTGCTTGACAAGAAATTACTATATAAAATATATCTCTCAAGAAAGCAGAAGTTGTAAAAATTTGAATGAATCATTACCAAGCCACAAAGGACGGTTTGGGAATTAAATTGTCACACCACGTGCTGGCAAGAGATATATATTTCTTCTGATGATTGCAATTCCAAAGCTACCCACACTAGAGTCAGGCAAATATGTATCAGCAATCATGTATCCGAATAAATATCTATACTGACTCGGGTGTTTTCTCGACATTTTACGTGTAATTATTACATTCCCAGTTACTATAGCCAAAGGGGATTTTAAAAATCACTCAATATTTTGCACTCGTTATTAAAAAAGAAAGCAGATAGATAGATAGATAGATAGATAGATAGATAGATAGATATGAATAAAGTGAGATAGATAGATAGATAGATAGATAGATAGATAGATAGATAGATATGAATAAAGTGAGATAGATAGATAGATAGATATATAGATAGATAGATATGAATAAAGTGAGATAGATAGATAGATAGATAGATAGATAGATATGAATAAAGTGAGATAGATAGATAGATAGATAGATAGATAGATAGATATGAATAAAGTGAGATAGATAGATAGATAGATAGATAGATAGATATGAATAAAGTGAGATAGATAGATAGATAGATAGATAGATAGATATGAATAAAGTGAGATAGATAGATAGATAGATAGATAGATAGATATGAATAAATGAGATATGAAAGATAGATAGATAGATAGATAGATAGATAGATAGATATGATAAATGAGATAGATAGATAGATAGATATGATATATAGATGAGATAGATATGATAAATGAGATAGATAGATAGATGATAGATATGAATAAAGTGAGATAGATAGATATATAGATATGAATAAAGTGAGATAGATGTGAACAACTGCGAGATAGATAGATGTTAAACTGCGAGATAGATAAATAGATAGATAGATAGATGTTAACAACTGCGAGATAGATAGATAGATAGATGTTAACAACTGCGAGATAGATAGATAGATAGATAGATGTTAAAAACTGCGAGATAGATAGATAGATAGATAGATAGATAGATAGATAGATAGATAGATATGAATAAAGTGAGATAGATAGATAGATAGATAGATAGATAGATAGATAGATAGATAGATAGATAGATAGATATGAATAAACTGAGATAGATGTGAACAACTGCGAGATAGATAGATGTTAAACTGCGAGATAGATAAATAGATAGATAGATAGATGTTAACAACTGCGAGATAGATAGATAGATAGATGTTAAAAACTGCGATAGATAGATAGATAGATAGATAGATAGATATGAATAAAGTGAGATAGATAGATAGATAGATAGATAGATAGATAGATAGATAGATAGATAGATAGATATGAACATACAGTGATAAAGAGAGGGAGAGAGGTGTGAATAGACTTAGATAGATATGAACAGAGATAGAGAGATAAACTGAGGGGAGAAAGCGAGATGTGAACAGACAGAAAGATAGAGAGAGAGAGAAATAGAAATGTGAGCAGACTTAAATCGAGAAGGAGAAAGAGAGATGTGAACAGACTAAGATAGATAGATAGATAGATAGATAGATAGATAGATAGATAGATAGATAGATAGATATGAACATACAGTGATAAAGAGAGAGAGAGATGTAAACAGACTAAGATAAATAGATATGAACAGACGGAGATAGAGAGATAGACGGAGAGGAGAAAGAAAGATGTGAACAGACAGATAGATAGAGAGATATGTAAACAGACTTAGATAGAGATGGAGAAAGAGAGATATGAACTGCCTAAGATAGATAGATAGATAGATAGATAGATAGATAGATAGATAGATAGATAGATAGATCTGAACAGACTATGATAGATAGATAGATAGATAGATAGATAGATAGATAGATAGATAGATAGATAGATAGATGTTTTTGAAAAGA